TTTGTTTGGACCCTTTTACATTTTGGCAATAGTCAAGAAGCCAATAACTATCCTGCATATGTTAGTCTATGCAAAAGTATATTTCAGTTGTACAAAATAAAAATAAAGAACATATTTGTAAAGGAAATCCATAGGTATATAAATACTTTTAATAAGTCAATTTTTATTTAATATTTATGATTTGTGAATGTTTTCCCCCCTATTGCCACATTTGATACCTACAAGCTGGTATAGGTGTTAGGGAAGCTTTTTGTGTTACAGTATATCATGTTTGCCATTTCATCTTGATCTATATAGGCTCATGTACTGTTTGAAGCTGCTTTGGTTTAGGAAGAAAATACTTTTAGATTTGGCTCTCATCAGCATTTTTATCCTATATTCGTGGCTTTTCTGAAAAGATCAACTTCTTAAACCATGGCCTCTTCGAACAGTGAGAAACTTCATAGCTTGGATTGAAGCAATCTGTTTATAGAAAGCATCAACAGACAACAGAGCCGTTGGTGCCAACTTCTGGTAGATACACCGTTGCTGATCTGCCAGATGCTTTTGACTGGTATTCCAAGATACTTTAAACATGAACTTCTTCCCCAGTGCTCCCTTTCTACTGGGCAGAAATAGGGGTTTGTAGCAGTCCATTATTTGATGGAAAATTACAGAATCCATACAAATGAATGAGAAGCAGGAGATACTGTTGGTTTAGCTAAGGTTTTAGTGTTCCATCTAAAGCCCCTTGAAGTCAATGAAAATGCTCGTATTTAGTTTCTTTCTGGGTGATATGTATTTGACAAAATGTAACAGGGCTCAATAGGTCCAAACCATGTGATTGTAAAGTTTGATATGCACATCTTGGAAATAATCTGCTTCCAGTATCCACATGTAATAAACTAAAAGGGTATATCCTGGTCTGACACTGGACAACTCAAGTAGATAGTATTCTGTACTACCACATGCAAGACTTGGGTTTAGTTACTCCTCTCCTGATCTCCATCCTAGCAGATTAGGGCATGTCCTTCAGGGTGATGTGCTCACCTTAATTGAATGGTATACTTGATTTTGCTTTCTGGCCATGATCTTGTTTAATCTTGACAGACTCCAAATGGAGTTTCTGTCTAGTCCTCAACAAGCAGAATTATAATCTCAAATGGGGAAGGACAGTTAAAAGCTTTTTACCAAGTATGACAATTAAATGCTCAAGTTGAATGTGTACAATATAACACGGAAGAACATTGTATTAAAATGGAACATATGATTGGTTCTGAAATAAAAATTCAAATGTTTCTTTGAGTTCCAAGTTGTGTTCTCCAGATGAAAACTATTTAGAAATTTGGGATGAAGCATTTGATAAATTTAGCTAGGTTTTATCTTTAGCTGCCAACAATATAGAAAGTAATTATCACAAAGGATAGAAGACTTTAGAATATGTCTAGTATCCAAATAACAAAGAACAGGACTGAAGTGTAACAAATGTTGCATCTGTCTTTAAAAAAGATGTTAGGGGTGACTTTGGGAATTACAGACCAGACTTCTCTATCAGGAAAATTGGTTGAAACAACATTTAAAAATGGAATTATAAAACATAAATGAACACGATATGATAAGGACAAACCAGCATTACATTTGTAAAGGAAAATGTTACCTCTCTAATCTACTAGAATTCTATAACCATGTCAACAAAATAGTGAGCAAAGGAAAACAAGGTAGCATTCATTTGGCCTTTCAAAGAGCCTTTAATAAAGTTCCTCAGAAGATGCTTTGAAGGAACTAAATAGTTATATGGTGAGAGGTAAAATATTGTCCTAAATAAATGGTCAGTTTTCAAAATGGCAGAAAGTTAAGAGTGGGATGCCACAAGGTAGTGGTCAAGAAAGCAAACAAAATAATGAATAGGAATGAAAATAATTCTGGAAATATCATACTGTTGTTACATACATGGATATTATTCCCTGACCTGAAATACTATGATCAGTCCGCTCACCTTGTTTCAAAAAAGAATTTATCAGGAATACAAGGTGTTTAGAGATGAGCAACAGAAAAGGATTAGCAGCCTGGAGAGACTGACATATGAAGAAAGATTAAAAGACTGTGACTGCTTAGTTTCCAGAGAAGATAAATAAGAGAGGTTATGCTAAATGACTACAAAATAATAAATTGTATTAAGGGTAAATAAGTTGCTCCTGTTGACCCTTTCTCACCCTACAGGGACAAAGAGTCATTGAATTAATGTGAATGGCATCACATTTTAAATTGGTAATTTCATAGATTCATAGATTCTAGGACTGGAAGGGACCTCGAGAGGTCATCGAGTCCAGTCCCCTGCCCGCATGGCAGGACCAAATACTGTCTAGACCATCCCTGATAGGCATTTATCTAACCTACTCTTAAATATCTCCAGAGATGGAGATTCCACAACCTCCCTAGGCAATTTATTCCAGTGTTTAACCACCCTGACAGTTAGGAACTTTTTCCTAATGTCCAACCTAGACCTCCCTTGCTGCAGTTTAAGCCCATTGCTTCTTGTTCTATCCTCAGAGGCTAAGGTGAACAAGTTTTCTCCCTCCTCCTTATGAAACCCTTTTAGATACCTGAAAACTGCTATCATGTCCCCTCTCAGTCTTCTCTTTTCCAAACTAAACAAACCCAATTCTTTCAGCCTTCCTTCATAGGTCATGTTCTCAAGACCTTTAATCATTCTTGTTGCTCTTCTCTGGACCCTTTCCAATTTCTCCACATCTTTCTTGAAATGCGATGCCCAGAACTGGACACAATACTCCAGCTGAGGCCTAACCAGAGCAGAGTAGAGCGGAAGAATGACTTCTCATGTCTTGCTCACAACACACCTGTTAATACATCCCAGAATCATGTTTGCTTTTTTTGCAACAGCATCACACTGTTGACTCATATTTAGCTTGTGGTCCACTATTTATTAATATATAATTGTGTAGAACTCTTTGCCACAAGGTATCATTGAGGGCCAGAGGTTAGTAGGGTTCAAAAAGAGATTGGACGTTCATTTGGATAATGCAAAATGTACAGTTACATCAGCTGCAAGAGTTTCCCAGTCTGGCTCTACGATTGAGAAGCTGCAGAGACTATAAGTCGTCTTATATTTTAATAGAACAGCGAACTATATAAAAATGTTATAGCCAGTCAAAAAATCAGCAATATGCACTGCATGGATTTTGTTCAAAATTTAAATGAAGACTTTTTTAAAATTAGAAGTCAGTTTTTCCATTGTTGTATTCCATTTCATTTTAATTATTTTGAGATGACATACTTTCACCACTCTTAGGCCAGCAGGCATCTGGAGGACCTCTGAGGGCTGTGATTTGCACTACAGCATGTGCTGCTTTGCGGCAACTCATTAGTCCACAGTTAGGAGTGGTTTTGCTGAGCTCTGGAAAGATAATCAGGCCTCGTGCTGTCCCTGTGAGAATGGACAAATATAGGGGTTCTTCAAGAATCTAAGAAATAATGGGATGAAAGTCAGAAGGAGAATAGAGAATTTGTTTTCAACCATATCAGAGTGAATTTTTAGAAAACTCTTCAAGTAAACAAACTAGAGGTGGTAATATAACAAGTTAGGATTCCCGGCCAAATAGTCTGTGTTTAACCCAGTATGATATTCAGGGTTTTTATCTTTTTTACGTTGTTTTACTGTTAACTGTGTGAAATATTTCTTTAAAATGTTATTGTTTTATGTAGTTACAAGCTATATAATGAGCATATTGCATGTTCAGGCATGTCTCATTTAATTACTATTTTACATTGGCTAAATATTAATTAGTGTTGTGGTTTTTAGTCTAATTTGAATCATACTGTTTGTCATACAGCATGAATGGTATAAGAGAACCAAATAAGTTGTTCTACTAAAAATACTTAAAATTTTTATGTAAATATTCATATATTTGTTTTTAATGGTAAAACTTGAAAGGGCCTTCAGTGCTTTAACTGCTCTATTCTCTGTAGAGTGGCGGATCAGATTTAATTAGATACTTTAGTGTCTGCAGTGATTTTTTTATGCTCTTGTGTCTGCAGCCTTTGAAAAGACCACAAAGAGATTAAGGTTTCAGGTGCTGTCTCATCAGTTTTGAACATGTTACACAACAGAATGCCCTAATGCTTTTAATAATGTAATTTAGTGATTTTAATCCCTATCTAGATATTAGAGAAAAGATGGTGGGGTTTAAAGCTGTAGCTTTTTCTATTATTGCAATTCAGCACCAGCTGCTTCAATAATAGGCACCTACAAATTGAGATATTTATGGTGTCAAAATCATTGAATTTCAGCTTAGGACTTCCTTCCAACTGTGATAAACTTCACAGTGGGCACTACCTAAATATTAATACCAGCTCAGATTTGCTTCCTGTTTACTGAGCTTTCATAATTCAAGTTGCATGTATTTAAATTTTAAAGACATTTTGCCATTCTGACAGCTTCCTTTCCATATTTGAATGTTGCTGACTATAGAAAAGTCCACTCACCTGAAACTGTTTTTGTTTATCATTATGTGCCATCTTTTTATCCATAAAATTGTGTTATATCTGTTAATGCAATGGATAATATGAAAAAAAAAGCAAAGAAAAATTAGGTTTAAAATATAACCTTCTTTTCCACAAAGATTTCACAGGTTCTTCCTTTTTTAAATAGTTTTGTTAAACAGAAGTGGAAGATCTCTGATTACTTTTTAACCTATTTAATTTAACAAATGGTGACTCGTATCATTTATTGAAACAAGATTAAGGAAGACAAAAACTGTTCAATATATTATAACAAAATGTCTGCTCAAAGTTAAGTACAAGAAAAAATATTATAAAAATTCTTCCTTAAACATCTCTTGTCCACAGAAATATAAATAATGCAAGTATGATTTTGTGCAAATAGGAAAGATTGTTTTTCTTATAAGGTTATTGTATGAGAAACAGAAATTCTGAAAATTTTAAGTATCATGCAGCTGTTCTGTACATATGCAAGGTAACACGCTATGCTTTCTCTCTGCCAGGAGTTAATTCCAGAGTTTTACTACCTACCAGAGATGTTTGTCAACAGTAACGGATATAATCTAGGTGTCAGAGAGGATGAAGTTGTTGTAAATGATGTTGAGCTTCCCCCTTGGGCAAAGAAGCCTGAAGACTTTGTCCGGATCAACAGGATGGTAAGAGGGATTTTAGTTAAGCTTTAGTAACAAGTTCAGTGTTTTAACAAGCTAACATATCATTGACTTTTCACCTCCGCAGAATTAGGGTTAAAATGCAAAAAGAAAAAGTCAGGGAGGAGTTTCCATTCAGCTCTTATTTAATAGGACTCTTTATTGTACAATGATTTTTCTTTAATGAGGACCAATAATGGAATTGTAAATTCAGTTATTTGCTCCCTCAGGAGAAAGCAATTTGATGGGCCTCAGTTGGACAATGTAAAATATCCTGAAGAGTTAAGAGCCCAGTCCTGCAAAATACTGAACATTTGCTGCAAATAAACACAAAGGGAGTTTGCAGGAAGTACTCAGCTCCTTGCATGATTGGACGCTGCTCAGTTTCCATTCAAAAGGAATTAATTGTTTATGCAGGAATACTGAGCTACTATGCCAAGTACTATATTTTCTGAACGGGTTTTGCAAAAGTACCCTTCCAACACAAATCACTACCAAGTGTGCAGAATTGTAGCTATGAAACACCTTAATCTATAATGTATACTTTTTTTTGCATAAATAAAGTATTTTTCAATAAATTAACATACTTTCAATGGAAAAGATATAGGGGTTTTAAGAGGAGACTGTTTATTCTCCTCTGTTTTCAGCCATGGTATTTCACCTTCTGGGTGTCTGTCAAATTATGTTGGTGACAAAGTGGCTTGATTAGTAGTATTGATATGTGTATTTATGCTTTTTCATGCAATAATAATAGAATTTTAGTGGTGCATATTCAGTAGTGTTTTCCATTACCTAGATCTGTGTTTTCTCTGCATACATGATCAACACTTGTTTATATTTTGCAAGGCTGTTCATAATAAACCGAGCCTTCGAAACGTAGTCTGACCTTTGACACACATTTTCTCCTAGAATTAAAATCTATGTTAAGTAAAATTATTTATATTTATTTCATCTGCCTATATTAGCAGGTTTTCTTACATATGTTACTATTTGTTAATGATAAAATTAATAATAAGATATATATTTTAACATTTTTTTAAAAAGGAAGGTATTTCATACACTATATCACAGTTCTCAACAACTTAATTCCTGACTATTTTCCTGAAATGGATCTGAATCAAAATACCCACTACTTACCTGTGCCTACAGATTCCCTCAATATATGCGTACCCAAGAGGTGTATAGATCTATCTGCTTGGAGACCATTGCCTAAAACACCTTTTAGCAGGAATGCCACTCCATCAGCTTATTGACGTTACCAATGTTGCAATTTAATTCCTAGAAATATATCTTTTAGGGAACAGTGCTTCTGGGATTCACATAAAAACAGCCCTCTAAAGTTCAAAAGAATAACTGAATATTAAAACACCTACCCTATCTTATAACAAAACACTAGACACATATGAAAGAGGACAGTCCTGCACTGTTAGGGAGACACTAAGTGGTATTTTCCTTCTAAAGTATCTGACTGTGAATTTTTTGTTTTATAGACATAGTTATTTTAACATTCTTTATAAAAGTTAATAGTTACCACAGACAATGGCAATATATGGGAACCCAATCTTAATCTCATCAAAGTCAAGAAGAGTTGAACTATTGACTTCAATGAGAGTAGCAGCAGCTCCGTTTTCTTTGATTCCTTACTGAAAGAAAATAAACAAACCGCCACCTTTTGGAGAAAATAATTAAACACACGCATTATTCAATTCCTACATGAAATTTTAGAAATAATTTTTATTCTTTTATATTAAAATCTGTCTCTCATTTTGTATGTTTAAAGGTGTAAAATTTTAAATGGGGACAAAGACAATATGTGATGAGAAACAGATTGAATGTATGCATGATGTGCTAAACTGTGATTTCTATGCTGCCATTTTGTTTCTGCTTTTGGAAAATTACCTTAAGGGTGCTCTCTGTAGAGGTTTTGTGCTGGGATATTAATGGTTTTTGGAGAAAACAGCTGTTTGCATGAATTTAAAGTATGGTATTTATGCCATTTACAATGCTATGCATTTAATAAAGGATTGGAGCTAAAAGTTGGAAACACCTTCCAAATGTTAGGCTTGCCGAGGAAAAAAATGAACTCTGTACATCCATAGGTATGCTCAGACTACTAGATAGGCTAATTTTAGGATTTATGGATTAGTTGAATTAGGGACTTAAATTGATTGAATACTTATCAGACTCTTAAATCCAAGAGTTATCCAATTCACATATCATCCTAACTTACCTGTCTCCCCTGACTTTAGCATCCTACTGTTTTTATCCAATTCTTGATGGGAGATATTTTCTGGATGACCTTTATTCATCCCAACATCTATTCCACTGTGAGTGGTTTAATAGCTGTTAAAGATTAAGTCCAGTCCTCCACAAATCCATACAGTTTTTCAGATAGGCCTTCCTCGTCCTTATTTGGCAATAGCATGGCAGGAAATAGTCTTGGCTTGCCAATGCTAATGGAGAAGAATCTTTAGTCAGCCTGGGTTTCTCAAGCCCCAACATATACAGTTTAGTGAACCAGAAGTAGCAGGACAGCATATTAATGAAATTTACAAATAATACTAAATTGGGAGATGTAAGAAAAGAATAAAAAGGGGGATCTCTAGAGAAGTTTGAATAATGGGCAGAAAATACATTTGACATTCATCTTGAAAGGGATAAACAGATATTCAACGGGAAGAAAAAATCTGGTAAGCAGTAATGCCAAAAGGGAGTTGGGGGTGATAATGAACAGCAAATTTGATATGCAATTCCATTCGGCACCAAAAAAGGCAAGTGCAATTTTGAGCCCTGTCTATGGAATCATTACAAATAGAGCACATAGATAGTCCCTTTATATGACTCTGGTGAGACTGCACCTGGAATATGGCATTCATTTCTGGGCAACTAAAAGGCAGAAGGATATTGACAAATTAGAGCGAGTTCAGAGAAGAGAAACAACGTGAATGAGGGTGGGACTATTTAAAGAGATTGAGGAGATTTTTTTTTTTTAAAAGCTAAATGTGTGTAGTGGGCTAGCTAATAGTTAAGGCAGGGAAAACATCTGCAAAAATGGTATAAACACCAAGGAATTTGAAATAATAGGATTGAGCTTAGAAAGGAAAAAAGCAGATGGATTTATCAGAAAAACTTGATATTGAAATCTATTAGACTATGAAATAGATTTCTAATGCCCCTATCACTTCGCACTTATAAAACTGGATTAGACAGTGTACAAGAAAATGTACTGTAGAAAACATTTCTGAACTGTGAAGGAATGGAAGGAGACCCATCTTTATTGTCTGATTCTACATGTATTTGGATTGTTCAGCAGATTTATTATTCAAATTGCCCATCTCTAGCCCAAAACTTTGGCTTGTCTTACAAAATTCTGTCTAAAGAAAAATATAGCATGAGGGTGGCACCGATATCTCTGGTGAGTTTGCCCCAAGAGCTGGAATTTGTTCAGCAGGCTTAGCAAAATTGTTACTGTACATATTTACAGGGAAGCCACAGAAATCTGGAGGCTATTTCAAGACACTATGATCCTGATCGAGAGCCCATTGAAGTCAATGGGGAGTGTTTCCATTATGTTGGATTGATCCTTATGTGATACCACAAACCATAGTGTGGGTATTCAGTATTTTCTAGCTGACAGCATTATAGATATTCATATACATTTTGCTCACCATAGCCATATATAAATTATAATTCTATTATGTGGACAGAAACACTTATTTACAACTTGCTTATGCATTCATTTGTTTATTTCTATTAAAATAAATAGAAATAAACAAATCAACTATTTCAGCATTACACACAGAATTTGACTTAGAGAGATGGCTCCCATTTAATCTATTGGTTAATAGGCTTTTTAGAATTGGGAAATGAGGGGTTTTTGTAGGGTTTTTCATATTTACTAAATATGTGCACTGTGGTGGAAATGGCTTTCCATTGAAAGAAATGCCATGAAACTTGTGAAAATTGGTCTAATTAGAAAGCTTGGAAAAGTGATTGTCAGGTTACTTTTAAGAGCTGTTGTGGTACATTCTAAAAGCACTCGATTTATACATCAGGGATTGTTGTACCAGTTTAATTTATCCATACATAGCTAGACTGATTACTACTGACTTACTCATGAAACATTAATAAAGCATTGTGTTCAATGCTAACATGATTATGGTCTGACCTCAGTGATGTCACAGAGGACAGAAGCAGTAAGTGTCCCTGATAACATTACCCTAATGGTGGGTTCATCAATCATAATCTACCATTAAAAAAAAAAAAAAAAAAAAAAAAAACTTCCACAGATGTGCATCTGTAGTCTTACTCAGCCTCTCAATCCCAGCAGACTTCTGGGGGTTCTGAGAGCCAGAAATAGAACATATTCAGCCAGTAAGTCAGGCATGTTAAATTGAGGCAAAGAACTCTACTGTGAAACAGTGAAGCAAAGCCTTTTTAATAAGCATTTCATAGTTTAAAAACAAAAGATGTGATCTGCTGTAATTTACATTAATTATAATGATATTTTGATGGTTGAACATGTATGTATTATATTACAAATTATAAATAGTGTTGCATAAAATGCACTTTCTATAAATGACATTTTTAGAAAGACCACTCGGTTTCTGGTTTTTGTAATTCATATTTTGTTACTGTTCTATGTTTGTTATTAAGGATGAATCCTTTCTGTAGAATGATTTATATACACAATTTTTGGCCTATATTTACATTTATGAATCATTTCATGACTACTCAGAAGCTTGGGTACTATTTCATGGTTAACAAACATTTAATATATAAATTGAAACCTTGGTGCACTAGGGTTTTGGTAGGTAGGGTGATTCAGTGCCTATTTTTCATCTATTGATAGGAGTTGACAATATTTTGAACTGAGTAAATAGAACATGAACAAATTTCATTTTGCTGTGTTGGTAATTTTTTATATTATTTTGTATTATTGTCAGGATTCTTATTTAACACAAAATAAACACATCTAATTCAGAGTTATTTAAATCTAAATATGA